GGCGTATCGGTTAGACTGATTTTTAAAAAATCGGTATCGGTATCGGCCTTCAAAAACCTGTATCGGTCGATCTCTAAACTGGATAGGATCGAAGCTCATTACTTTTGTTATGGAAGGAAAGCCCCCACCCAACCCCAGACCCCATCCTGTTTACAGAGCTTTATCAAACAACACTGTTTGATTTTTTTCCTAAAATAATACTGTATCTGATTCTGCACACAACAAAATGTTGCATAAACTCGCAGCTTCCGAGTGTTCAGGAGTTTGCAGCGTCTCTCAGCTGCTGTTTGTGATGAGACTCAGACAGGAAGTGGTCTTCACGTTGTGTCCAGCCCATCGTGTGCCGATAAAACTTACAGAAAAGTTATTTTCCAGATAAATGAAAAACGGCTAGGACATTGTTCTGTCGTAAACGTTACTCTGAGACCATTTCCTTAGCAGCATGTAAACGGAAGTGGAGCAGGAGAAGGTGGATTCTGATTGGCTGTTGTCGCGCACATTTCTGCCATGTTTGTTCGAGTAAGAGGCTCACAGCTGATCACCGTGATAGACCTGAATTTTTTCTCGATCAATAATCGCGATCAAATAATCGCCCAGCCCTAATTCAGATATTTTATGTTCAGCAAGAGACAGACCGATGTTGTCTAAAACTAACCCGATAATTATAGATATAAACCAATATAAAACACTTGTAAGTATATCGTGATAAGTTTTTCAGCCAAATTTCATAGCCGTATGCAAGGCCAAATTTAAGGTAAAAAAAAAAAAAAAAAACTGGCCTTTCAACAGCTAAATGGCTCACAAACACAGTTAATTTAGTAAAACTGCAAAGTGTTTGCATTTTTTTTTTCAATTGTATCACAATTTTTGAGCAGCCAGCTGCTGTAGTCTCCCTCAGATGTGCCCCAGTAAGATAACACCTTAGGGCCTAACTGCACGGCTCTAGTCAGTAGGTTCTGCTCCAGGTCCAGTGGCAGGCTCCACCCTGGACAGGTGGTCATTTCGTCACAGGGTGTCATGCTCACCTTTTCCTGTTCATTCCTTCATATTGGTCTAACAAATATCTCTCTATATCACCCTGAGGACTGTTCTGGTGTGAACGAGTGCTGAGTGATGTTTTCTCACCCAGCTCCTCCAGAGATGGGACACCATACTTCTCCCCATGGTCCTCAGAAATGGGGGTGATGCAGGATCCCATCAGAGTGTCCGACAGGGTCTCCACAGGCATCTCTGGGGGGTCCAGGCGACTGATGAGGGTCTGGAAACGCTTGTAGGTGAGAGGAGGCTGTCCTCCGTTCAGCTCTATGATCCTGAAGGACAGATTAGGAATGAATAGAAAACACAAATCTCATGTTTTCAAAAACAAATCCAACAAAGAAATTAAAATTTGACATTCATTATAGGAAAACATGTCACCTGCTGTCATTGTTGTGCCAATTTCAAACGAAAACTATTAAAAAACGATGGAGTCATAAATGTTTTAGTCAAACCTTTAAAAAGYGCTTATGTGCAATCTTGGAGAGTATGTTTGTTTTTAAACCGAAACACTTCAAATGTGTCAGTGACAGTGATTCCTGTCTGCTTCATACTTCACGCCCGCAGGATGCTGTATGGGTCAGTCTCTAAATTCAGTCAGTTTTACAGATATAGTGAGTTAAAATGTAATGTGATATTAGCAAAGAGTGTGACATCACACCATATTTTAGAAAAAAAACAGCCACATTTCTCATCATAAACTGATGATGCTTTAAAACTTTTGCAGGTGATATGCATTCCCTCCATGTTTTCCYATGTGCCGTTTGGTGTCTCACTTGTCCAGGTCGTAGAGCGTGTGTGAGATCTTCACAATGACCTCCACTCCCGCCTCCATTGCCAGCTTCTTTATGGCAGCGTCCCTCTCCTTTCCAAATGGCTCCGAGTCGTACTCAAAGGTCAGCCGAGAGATTTTCCACTCCTGAATTAGAGAGAGAAACTATTTATTACATGTATGGTTGTTAGTCGGATGAAAATTTTTAAATCTGCTGCTAAGACAGTTTGAAGATGGGATTAGAAGAAAAGATWAGTGTCTCTTTATACGGACCTTAAAAAGACGAGGAAACACGTTGGCTGGTTGGCCTCTGATGACAAAAAGACGTGAGTTGAGTTTACGGAGACTTGCATCAAGGTCCTCCAAACACTGAAGGAGAAACCTAAAGAGAGGACACAAACAGCAGGGTAAGATTTAAAAACAAGGCTTGGTCAGTATATGACAACATGTGGATGAAATGTGAATACTAAAAACAGATTTCTGGATCAAGTTGCAAACCGAGCAACTCTGGTTTCATGGTACTTCATGAWCTTATATGGCACTTTATCAAGTCCCTATGAATGCCAAAGAGCTTTACACTTCATTCATCCATTCATACACATTCACACATTGGTGKAGGTATACATTAAAGTCACAGTTGCCCTACAGCAGAGGTGAGGATACAGTCAGGGTTTAGAGCTCATCATAGCACAGAAACAGACCTGCTAAAAAGTACTAATGACATTCACATGGCCTCAGACAGTGGACCTCTGTCCATACTTGTAATGTTAGACAGTGGACTTGTGTCCATACTTGTAATGTTAGACAGTGGACTTGTGTCCATACTTGTAATGTTAGACTGTGGACTTGTGTCCATACTTGTAATGTTAGACAGTGGACTTGTGTCCATACTTGT